GGGTGAAACGTGGGTGGGATTGGGGAGGAGGAGGAGCAGCAGTGCCGGAGTTAGCCGGCTGCACGTGTGACTTCTGCTGGATTGCTCTAGGAATATTAATAAATCCCCGTGGTTCATAATAAAATCATTTTCCATCGGCAGTATGATGTTAATAGAGGTAATTACTAATAAGAAAGTCAGCCTGGAATAGCTTTCTCAAGGGTGTGCGATGCTTCTGACAAATATTTTGGTTCTGACATTACGATCTTATGGAAGTTATCAGAAAATTCATTACCCATATGATTGGCCTCCTCTCTGAGTCTCCCTTTTCAACTATTATAAGTTTCCCAAAGACCTTGGATTTAGCCACTACTTTATTTTCCAGGAAAATTTTCCCCGCTTCGCGTAACGTGCTGCAATTCCTTGTCTGGAGGTGAAAACCAAAGCAGGTTTCAAAACACCCAGGCGTGACGTTTGGGTTGTTTAACCTGAAGTGACACCGTCGTTAAATGTAGGATTGTCTCTGAGGTTTGAGCCTGAGCGGTTTGTCTTGAAGCTTCATAGAAGTGAACTTGGATTCTGGGCTTGTTTGGAGACTTCCAGTAAATCGCTGTCGGTGGGGTAACTGTGTAAAATTAATTCAGCAGGCAGGTGGCCGAGGAGCTTGATCCTGCATAATCTTATGTGTGCGATTAAGTCTGTCTGCGTGGATGAATATTACTGGTGGGACAAACTGTGCAGAGCTAAGCACTTCTGGACATGGTTGTAGAGGCTGATACAATGCAGGGGGCGGGGAAACAAACTGAGAAGTCTTTAAGTGAAGACCATAGAGGAAATGCAGAATTCTTTTAATGTCTAGAGTCTTGCCTAGGGGTTGAGAGAGGGAAAGGGTTAAGAGGGGAATACAAGCTGCCTGAAATCTGCACTGTAACATTTTTGGATCTGTGCATACATTTGGGGACTGGGGTTCATAAGAACAGATTCTTCATCTTATGTTTGTCTGGAGATGTGTCTGAATCTCAGTGGTTTTTTGGGGGAGGAGTTGGATGCTGTTTCATCCTCTTTTCTCTTGTATTTGGGGTGAATTTGAAAGAACAAGGGAGAGGTGACGGACTCCAGACCTGATGCAGAATCCAGTGAACATGCCAGACCCCCACAGATTCGGATGTGTTTCGGTCCAGGCAAATCCAGTTGCTAATTTCCCCCTAGATTTTAAGCTAGCGTGTGATATTAGTACTGGAAGAATGCACTGCAGTATTTATTGGCTTCAGCTGGAATTCAAAGCAGTGGCTTTCACCTGCAAAATTTTGACTGTCTGGGAGCTGCTAGCGTGAGACATCATCTCTTTTCTCTGTCACTCTGCCATCCATGAGATCACCGGAGACGCTCCGAGCTGGCGAGCGCTCAGTGTGAACCAGATGTCTGCTGAGAACCTGCCTCTGCGAGGGCCTTCGCATCTGCCGTTAGCCCCTCGTCTTGGTCTCTGTGCCCCGCTCTGTCAAACATCCCTCCGAGTTACAAAGCCTGCCAAGAAAGCTGTGAGCTGAGCTGGGCCTTGCTATGTCTTCTGTGTGTTTTGTGACTTTTTTACATCACTATTTTTTAGGTGGGAGGTGACGCACCTCGTGTGTGTGTTAGCTGCGCCAGCCTTTAGCCCTAAGGAATAAGATGGAAGCAAACAAATCTCAGAGCAAAAAGGACTTTTGTTTTAGTCCAGTCAGGAATATTAGCGACTGGGATCTCTGGACTTTTTTTGAACAGTAACCAGTATAAACTGGATGGAAATGATCCCATTTATCGTACGTATGGAGATGTGTGCAGTGCAAACGCTCAGATTCTTGGATTCCTGATCTAAAATTCTAGCAGAGATACAGGCCCAGAAATGTCAAGAAATGTGCAAACAGCTGTACAGCATAAATAAATTGCCTTTTTTTTTTTTTTTTTGGTCACTTTACTTGAATCTGGTAGAAAGAGTCCATTGACTCCCAGGAATCCATTTACCACAGCGTGACAGCCACAGATATAGATTATTTTAGATGCTTTTACAGAAGAAAAAAAAGGAAGATTTTCCAGTTAGCTCGTAGATGTCAGGGTCATGATCCTATTCGTGATTTTTAAAAAAAGCAAGAAAAGTGTTTTGCTGATAAAAGTGGTGATATTTCATTGCCTTTTTTAATTACTGATAGTTTAAAAGCTACAAAAATAGTTTAGATCTTATTTTTTTCCTTCATTTCTTTCTATTTCCTTGGATTTATAGCTCCAGTTGTCAAAGTTCTGGTCCAGTGAGAACTTAATTTCACATGTGTATCTTACATTTGCGAATAAAAGCACTGAATTTCTTACTTGTATACTCCCTTCTTCACCAGCGTGGCTTTTCCTGGGTTTTTTAAACTTTGCTAACAGCAGGTAAAATGTAATGTTGCTCTAAGGCTTTGTGAATTTAAACCAAAAGTCTTTGTGATATTTTTAATTTAATATTTGGAGCTTAGTAGCTTTTTAATATTTAAACATAATTTAAAACAGGTTTTTGATGAATGTATGTAAATAGACTCCCTGGGAGCTGTTAATCCAGGCAGTTGCATTCTTGTGTTAACATATTGCGAGCAGAGGTAGAAAATAAAATTATTAATCTACCTTCTTTCTACTTCATAGAAGGCAAGCATAAGGTATAAATGACTTAGGAAATTACTGAGTCTATTTTTAGTGCAGTGCATGGCCAACCAACTGGTATTTTTCATCTTAATTGACCAAAACTTGAATTTAAAAGCTAAAGTTTGACCACCTGAGCGTTGCTGTGCTGCCAGATGCCCAGACTTCGGAGATGAGATGCAAAATCTCCTCTTCCTGCAATCCCTGAAGAACCATCAAACCCTTCCTCAAAGAAAAGAAACCCTCGTAGCCACCCTCCGCTCAGACATTTTTCTAATTCCGCATTTTAAAGCTGGCATTTTTATTCACTTCTCTTCTTATTCAAAGCTTCTTCGGCTTCTGTGCCTTGTTAAATGTTTGCCACCCTCCCCGCCAGAGGTGACTGCATCTCAATGATGCTGAAGTGCCCCTGTACATAACCTGCTCACTGGCTCATTAAGCTTGCAAAGCATTTGGGATTTCTCAGTACACAAACCCTGCCATTCAGGTAGGGTTGTCCAGTCCCTCGTGTTTCCTGTGTTTGCCTTTAGCAAGACAAAAAGCAGGTGAGAGCCTGCCCCGGAGCTGCTGGGCTGCACACTCCGAAGCTCTGGGCCAGCAGCCCCAGAAGGTGTGGGCTGCCCTTTCTTCGGTGGTTTAGCCTGGTTTCTTAAGGAAATGAAACTTGTGATCCTGCAGGGATTCTCTCCCCTTTCCGCCCCAAGTAGTTTTCAAACCTGCCAGGCAATTTCAGCAAAGTTTTGCCAGTAGGACTGAGTTTTGAAGACACCGATTTTGGGGGATTTTTGTGAAAATAGGTGGTGGTTAGACAAGAGATTCTACGTGGGTCCTAAACTGGAGAGAGGAGCTGTGCCATCCTCTCAGCCCTTGTGATCAGAAAACCTTAGCTGAAGAAAATCTACCCCTTAAGACCCTGATGTGGGGAAATCTCGATGAGACGCAGATTTATAGGAAACCGGGTTTTATTCTGGTGTGCACAAAACTACGTATTTAAAAATAAGGGAAAAAAGGCGATTTTTGGGGCGGGGGGGGCTTCACTCTGTTGGTAAAGGTCACGAGTAACTCATCCTCGTATTCTTCTTTCAGTACTGCCTGTCAGGACACCCGACCTTACCATGCAACGTCCTCAAGTTCAAATCCACCACCATCATGTTGGATTGTGGGCTGGACATGACGTCCACCCTCAATTTCCTCCCGTTGCCACTGGTTCAGAGGTATGTTCCGCGGCCTGTGAGCACTTAGTCTGCGTCTTCTTGGGTTGCAGTTGGAGTGCTCTGCGTGAAATGGTGTATTGGAAGGAGGGAGGGGATGAGTACAAATGAACAGCATCATCCGATATCATAAATAGACTTTGTTCACTTAAAAATTCTCTTTATCAAAATAACGTCCTTTGGCTCAATAGACGGAAGACATTTTATGGATTTATTGATTGGTTTTTCTAGATAATTTATTCTAAGCTTCAGTAAAGTATTGCTGCAACTGCTCAGCACAAGTGAGGTCACATATCTGTCATCTTTCTGGCTTCTTCATGCAAGATGAGATAAATGGGTAACTGAGGTGGAGCGCCTGGAGCCCAGCAAGTGCTGTTTAACCACCATCTTCTCAGGCTTTTTTACGGAGCACGGACTAATGCGAAGAAAAATAGCACTTAACAGTCCTCGTTAGTTGACTTGATGGCATAATTGTTCCCTTTTGGAAGTTAAATAAATAAAAGGGCAGTGTAGCTGGGCACAGGAATGGAACAGCAGTGAAGCAAAAGTAGACTCTAGAAGAGAATCCGAGATCAAGATTCCCATTCTACACCAGAACTACAAAGTGGTGTTTTCCCAGGTTTTTAGATGAATTTGACTATTCAGTTACGGTGACTTATGTCTCACATAAATGGAATACGTTACAAAAACGAGGGGTTGGAAAGAAAGGCGGGAATGAGTAACTCTTGGTGATGGGAGTTTTCACAAAAGCCATTTAGTAACTTTGATCCATGAGGGAAGATGGGGGGAATGTTCTGGGTTCAGAGGAGACGTGATTGAGAGGGGGAGAATATGACTGGGAAAGGGGGTTTCCTAAGTGACCTAATGGGGTCAAAGCAGTTTGTCCAGCACTTCCTATGATTTGTTATTTTTTTGGAGAGGAAAAGAATAGACAATATATGCATTGTTCTGCAAGAACGTGGAGTTCAAGGTCTGCTGGAGAGTAGGCGACAGATGCCTTGGGACAAATCAGTGTGGTAGTCAATTTTTGTCACATTCCGTGATGCAATTGCTAGCGACAGCATTTAGGGACAGTAGTGGATTTTGAAGGGATCCAGAAAATTTGGGAAATCCGTGTGC